TAACTAAGATAGTTAGAAATACTTATTTGGGACATTTTCTTAGAATCACGTCCAAAGCTAAGAATCTAAAGTATATTTTAAAGAGGAAACACTGGGTAGGAAAATTTCAAGGGTGTTGGGTTTTGCTCTGAAAGGGGATAATCACTTGGACAAAAAGAGATACTGTCTTTAATGATCCCTGCTTCATGACAGCTTCATGTTTTACAAGCCCACTTCTACTTTGCTAGAGACTTTTAACTGTTGTTCTGCACTTTTATATTTCATGGACATCTTCAGAGGCCTGATTTCACTACAGTAGATTCTATAGATTTCACTACAGAGAATACTTATTCTCAAATACAATTGTGGAGAACAATGATAGCTGAGTAATATTTGATTGAGTTTTGATTCAATTACAAAATGAATTTGAAACAAATGAAGTGATTCATGGATCTTAAGTCATCAGAGGCCTAGATGTTTGACACAGAGTTATGGTCTATCTCCATAGTTTTCCTCTCTCTTTCCCACAAGAGGAAAAAGGCTACGTTTATGCTGGAAAACGCACTAGCTAGCAGGGTTCATCTAAAATATATCTCCATTAATATATAACAGAAACCTCATTGATATTGATTTGTAAAAGAGAAATGAAGATGCACACAAAAGGCACATTTCCTTTGGTTTACTAAAATTAATTTAAAAATTGATCACATTTCCATAGCATTAGCCATGAGGTAGGATTCTTATTGTGTTTTTTTATTAGAAAAGGAACATATAAGCTCATTTTAAAAATCCAAACCCCTATTTCATCATCATTACCCAGTAAAAACTACTGCCAGGAGATTGTGGCATGTTCTTTCAGTGTTCATGTGAGTATATGAGAATGTATATATACATACAAAAACATGAAAACAACCACTGTGTTCATATATCACCTGGTTGTAGCTTTTTAAATATAAACTAATTGTATTTAGGGTCTATTTCCTTGTACTGCAGATAATATCTACTTCATTCTTTCCAAATGCACTCTACATTTACCCAGAAATTAGCTCTCCCCCCATGAAAGGACAGTGTTCTTTGACCCAAAACAATAACCATAAAATATGATGTTCCTCTTGGGTCTTTCCCCATTTCTCCTAGCTCTAATCTTATCATCCTCTCTTATCTATTGCCTCCTTTATACTTTTCCTCTAAATTCAGAAAGTACATATACAAGTTATTCTTATCACAATGCTAGGATTCATTCTCCCCCTTGTCTTGTGGGGTCATTCAACTAATAATATATGGAGAGCTACTCTATTTCATGATCTCTACTCTACAATTCAAAGACATGAGTGAACAAAACAGACATGATATGAATTATATATATATATATTCCTTAATAAATAGGATGTGCAAAGAAATCAAGAAATTGCAGTTTACAAATAATGAAGCCCTGGGCCAGAGTAATTCAGCTGGCAAATGGAAGAACCGTCATTGGAACCACTGTCAGAATTACCACACTCCACTGACTCAGATGTCTCTGTTTAAAATACCTACTCATCTCCTTTGGGGAAAACTTGAAGGGGGTGATATTTCTTCCTGGTGCTCCTGAATGCCCTCAAATGAAATTTCTTTCTGGAATCCCTGGGGACTTTGGCCTTATGTTCACTGGAGGTGGGAGCCAAGTCTACTAGAATAGCTGGAAAGTAGGGAAATATGGATAGGAAGAGAAAGTCTTGTGTCACCATATCAAAAAAGCAGAGAAAGTAATTTTTAGGAAATTGGTCTAAATGTAATAATTAAAATATCTCATTTTACTATAGTTTCTATTATCAATGAAGTCAAGCATCTTAGCTCTGTTTATATATGCTACTTGAACTTTTCTTCTATGACAAATACATTCATATCCTTTTGTGCAGCTCTCTTCTTGTGTCTATAAACACCTTATTAATATGTATACCTTTGTTAAATGTAAACAATATTTACAATTTTTTCTACATGTAAAAAGATTTTCTTGAATTTGTTGTTGATTTGATCTATTATGTGTTTGCTGTGTAAGAATTGAAAAACTTTTATGCATTCATATCTCTCAATGTTTACAGCTCTGAGTTGTGGCATAGAACTTATAGTATGTATGAAGGACACTTTTTATCATTATTTCTACTGAAGGGAAAAAAATCTTCTATAAAAGACCATAATGGAAGTATACTCATAAACCATGTTTACCAACAAGGTATTTACCTAGTTAGTCTTTTGATTCTATCATTTTCTCTTTTGGTAAATTTTAGTCCATATTCTATTGTTCATTGGGGCACAAGGAACAATAGCTATAATACATCTGCATCTATATCTATATCTAGATATAGATATCACATAACCTAGATGTAGGTCTAAGAGGCTATATCTTCTAAGTGCAAGTACACTCTATGATGTATGCACAATGACAAAATTGCCTAGCAACACATTTCTTAGGACCTATTCTGTCATTAAGTGTCGTGTGATTGTACTTAGCAACTCCAGTATATTGCACTGTAGCTCTTTCCTTAATTTCCTAGACAGGTGAATTCTGGCAAACATGAATTTGGAGCATATCCTTTGGTTTATAGAATATAAAAAGAGCTCCCTATGTTCAAAGAGAAACTCAGCAAAGCTAAAAGAAAGCAAAAGAAGTCTAGGAACAAATAATTTAAAAGATGTTATTTTCTTTTGCTTTCTCAGATAATCTAGTTTGCGTGATATAAAAAAGCAGCCCCTTGGTGTGACCAATGAATCTTCCAGGGCGTTCTGGAGTTTGTGTTGTAATCCATTTTAATGGCCTATTAAACACACAATTGATTGGATTAAGCATGCAGCGATTCAAATGAGACTTTAAGTAATCTCACTGACCATGGTAGACTCTGTGTGATGTAACATCCCTTAGGCTGATGCTAAGGACTCACACAAGACGAAGAAAGAGGTTGTGCTTTAAGAAATGCAATCTTTCCCAAGATAAACATAGCCAGCCAAGATGGACACAAATGAAACTTGGAGGGAGAGGTTATAGAACAAGGATTTTGCTTGAAGACCTATTCTACCTGTTAATAATAATTCTGATCTTGGACACATTATTGAAATCTAAGTAAGACTTAATTTTTGTTTAAGAGAAAATGAGGAAATATGGATCTCTCAGGATAGTTTTGATTAACTAAGAATGTCTTATACTATCCCTAATATATAACCAAATATGAATCAAATTCTTGGACATCTCCTTCATGAACTTCTTTTCCTATCTTCTTTTTAAGGTTTATAATCTAAAGCCCTCTTCATTCTCTTATCCATTCAAAATTTGGTGTCTTTTCTGTATAAGACACTGTGCAATGAATTATGAGAAGAGTACACTGTCAAGCAAGCATGAGTTTTACTCTACAAGAAAGTGTATAGATTATTCAGAGTTAAATTGATAATAATAGTCAATATTTAATGGAATGTTATTCTGCACTCAATGATTAATTTTTAGTCAATTCTCACAGCTATGCTAAGATCAACAGGCAGTACTATCTTTATTCCCATTCACCAGGTTAAGTAGGAAACATGTCCAAAGTCACATAAGTTGTGTCTCAGCAAAGATTCAACCCCAGCTACCTAAGAATTCAGAGTCCAAGCTTTTAACCAGACTTAAACACTATGCTATACTAAGAAATATTAACAATGTGATATAGTGTAACTAGAATATAATAAGCAACATGAGAAATATGGGTGGATATGCATGGAAATTTAGAAGGGGGTAGTCACTTTTGGTTGCAAGAATCCAGAAAGATTTTACATAGAAGATAGTGTTGATGTATCTTTAAAAAATTGTTTTGAACTTTGCTCTACCAACATTTTTTCTTTTTCTTTTTGTGGAAACTCAAGTGAGACTGGAGGCCTATCCTATGCTCAACTAACATGAGTTAAACACAACCTTAAAAGTTAAGTGCCCACTGGTGTGAAATAAATGTTCTCGTCTTATGCCTTCGAATGTGAAGTCTGGGAATTGAAAATTTTTCGCAGAGGAACAAACACTATTTCACACTTGACTAACCATGAGCAGGGGCCAATCTGTGATCTCTTTGAACCTTTTAGCTAGGAAGATGGACTATGTGTGTGCTGGTGTGACACAGGCCACCAGCTATGTGAACAAATGCAAGTGCTGCACTTGGAACTATCCAAAGTAATCTCTGAAGCCAGTCTCAGCTTCAGCATGGGATTGTATTATCTATTCCGGGAGAAGGAGAAAAACAAGCATTTCTGTAACCAGCTACTGTATGGGCTAATGTTTTTGTGTAAAATATGCATCAGAAACCTTTTTAATCAGTACCTAAAAACAAAATATAGAGCTGCTAACATTTTTTAATGTTAGATCCTATCCAAAAATGGGTAATAAATATAGAAGGGAACTAAATCGAGCTTTGTACCTGTCCTCCCTGAGCTGTGGATTTTTATTATCAGCCAGGGTCCATGCCGTGGAAATTCTTCCTTGCTTCTGATTTTTCAGTTTGAAATCCTGATTGTGTTCAGTAAATGTTTCAGCTAGAACTGCTGAAGACTCACTTGAATAGGCTAAAAGGTGAAAAATAAGTTACAATTTTCTCTAATTGCCTGTCCTTCCATTCTCGAGGCCCTTGATCTTGTAGATTTGAAGCAGACATTTGTACCTGGCTGGATCCCTCTTGCCTAATGTCTGGCCTCCCCAAAGACTACACAAACATACCTTAGCCCTATATCATTAACTTCTTTTGCTGTTAAATCTGTTTTTTATCTTGGAGTCTCATGCTATTACAGCCCTTTGGGGGGTGGGGTCCTGATTTTCTGCCCCTGTCTCTATGTGTCCCTTTAACTTCTGTAAGTGGAACCGTTATGAATGGAGGGCCAAGCTGCTCATCTGTCTGATGTTGAAATCAAGAATTCAGCAGGAATAAAAATAATTTAGAAGTTTACTTCTATATTTTGGAATAAGGATTCACCTAATGAGCAACATTTTGCAAATACAGACTTAGAGGAGCAGGAAATGTCTTATTATTTTATTTTATTTGCATAAAATGAAATTAAATGAACTCTTATCCTAAGTCCTTTCAATGCTTGCCTCTTGGAAAATTATCACTACTGGCTCGCTTGTCTTTTTTTTTTCTCTCTTTCTGCAGTCAAAATTGAAAGGAAAATAATGAAAAACTGTCATCTGTAGTTTAAATAAAATAATTAAACTAACCATGAGGATGTATATTTTAACAGTCAAAAAAAGTCCAAAACTAGCTTCTTGGGTAGATTGGGGGCATGAACACTAGGGCTCACTGGGAGAGAGAACATAGGGAAGAGAGTATGAAGTCTTAGATGCCAAATGTGGTGATTTAAATTGCTTTCCTTAGGCCTTACTAGTTAGACCTAGTATGGTTTTCAGAATACGGATTGCACAGCCAAATCTGTAGAGATTCTGATTCTACAGGTCTGAGTTTCAACCAAGAATTAGCATTATGAACATGATTTCAGGTGACTTGTCTGCAGAAGGTCCATGGGCTACAGAGTGAGAAATGCTGTTGTTGGTGATGCCCAGGCCATGGCAGTTTTAGAGCAGTGAGTAGATGTAGAGAAAGACGTTTTCTGGAAGATCAAACAGGAAGTGCCTTGGAAGACAGAGACACAGACAAAGATAAAGGAGGTCAGTTAGCTACCACTAAAAAAATATGCTAAACATAAGTAGAGGTTGGATGAGGCTGGCAGCAGAGTTTAACATGTTTAACATGATTCTAGATCTCACTGCCTGAATTATTCAGTTACTACTAAATTACCAAGTGTACATGGTAACTCTTCAGCATTCATGGGCAGACTAACTTTAGAGTTTCTCTACTAAAATTTTGTATGCAAAATTTCTCTTTTACATAATTTTATTCCAACTCATCACTTTTATTCAACATGTTTTTAAGATAAAATATATTTTATTCTAAGCTTTTGATTTTTTCTTTTTTTGCACTTAAAAATGATTTCCTATTCTGAACTAACTTCAGGCTTACACAAAAGTTGCAAACATAGTACAGAGAGTTTCCAAATATCCTTTACACAGCTTGAAACAGAAAAAGTACATCAGAGGAAAAAATTTAAAGTTCAAATAAGGTCTTTCATTAAGAATATTGTGACAATATTAAATCTTGGTTTGATATTTGTATACCTCTATTCTATCTTAATTAATATTAGTAAAAAGCTATTGAGAGGTTATAGGAACAACATTGTGGAGGTTATTCTTTTCTTGTCAAAAATAATTATTTCTATACATTCGTTTTATGACTTAGTTGTATGTATTTTCTATTTTTCCATTTTACAAGGTGCCAACAGCAAATTACAAGAATTTTGACACTTAAACATAAGCTTCTTATCAAATTTTTTTCTTTTTAGAATCATCCTTTTTAAACAAATAGTGAATTGTGAAAAATCATATTAGAAAAAAATCTGTAATACTAATATTCACAATTATAGTCAACTATTTTGAGAAGTTACTGTTACAGACACTATTCTAAACATTTTACATCTACAAATGTATTGAATTTTGATGCTTAACCCTATGACTGTAAGTATTATAAAATTAGGGACATGGAGGCAGGGAGAAGTTAAGTAATTTGCCCAAAACTGACATGGAAATTAGAAGAGAGATTCTTTCAAACCCAGGCTGTCTGGCTCCAGACCCACAACCTACACTACCACACTCTCATGCTCTCTTATCTCTAACATATATTTTAAAAATCCATAAAATGCTGTAAAATATTGTTGTATTATCCTAAATCCACAGTCTGACATCAAAGGGAGAAAGAGAGCATCTTGGTCTTTAACTTACATTATTTGAGTCTCACACTACACACCAGATTGGAAACAACAATAATCATTCTGACTGGATAAAGAAGATTTTTTTTTGTAAAATGGAGTACTACTCAGCCATAAAGAATGAGAAACTAGAGACATTTATAGTTGAATGGATGCACATTGAGATCATAATCTTAAGTGAAATAAATAGGACACACGTGTAAATACCGAATAGTTTTTCTGATGAGAAACTGAAAGTGTAAATAAGGATCAAAATGTATAATAGATAATGTGAAATAGGAAGAAAAGGTGCAAAGGGGAAGGTGAAGTGGGAGGGGTAGGGGAAAGGAAAGAAGGTAAAGGAAAAAATATGAGAACATGAAAAAATGGAAACAAAGTCTTTGTGAATAAGGAGGGGCGGAAGGGTTGAAGAGAGGGCAGGGGAATGGGGAAAAAATAAGAACCAAGATACATCATGTAAAGGTACAAGTTCCCAATGATGAATGTCATCATA